CCTGTACATGCTATTTCAACTTTTAATACATAGTTTGATATTATTTTTTCAAGAAGCAGAAACTCTTATAAAGGATAACTTTTTTTTTGTAAAATTGATAATAAAAAAGTTTCCCATGTGCTGCGAACTTAAGTGGATACACTGTATTTTATGAGAAAATTTCATGAATCAAAAATTCAAATTTTTTGTCAAAACACCAGTTCTCGCATTAGTTACTATGCAATAATTTACACTAATATAAATTATCACGTAATTCCAATCTGATTGGTTCAAATCAACAATCAAAACATGTTAGTTTATTGTTGGTATGTCAGTTTTGACAAATGTATGAAATTCTCATCAAAAAAACGGCCACTAAAATCAAAAATCGACGTATCCGAGATTTTTTGAAAAAAAAATCAACCTTGTATTTTTGATGGATTTTATTCCTAACCTTCACGTACTAACTGTATTTAACTATGCTATATGATATCCTCTTTCGTTTATTCAATTCTAGTAAAGTTATCTTTGTTCGTTTTGAGTTCATTATGAAATATATTCACCATAATTATTTACACAAACTAATAACTGGCCTTGCAGTCCTCTCGCGTTGTGTAATTTTTACTTACCCCGGTGCCAAAATTTTTGAATTTCCGTGTTTGCAGGGCTTACAATTTGAGACGAGATCTCAAAAACTACTTAATATTTTTGAGTGAATCAAGAAGATTCGAAAAGATAATAAAATTTAGAACAATGCTCTTGTTTCATTTTTTTTAAAAAAGCGATGGGTTTGGATGTACCGAGCGATAGAAATGATGCTTTTGTAACAGAATTAATGTTAATTTTCAAATCTCGGTTCAAGTTTTAAGAAATAGATAAAAATTTATCTTAATGGGTTTTACAAACATATGGCGATTCTGGGAACGATATAACTAATCTGGTCGAGAATTGAGGAAAAACACTTAAAGCCAAATGTATCAAGTTTTATTAGTTTTCAAGTCGAAAATAAGCCAAATTGACAAATTTATTAGGCAAAATTATGTGTTCTCCTAGATTAACGCCAAATGTGATTCTAATCTGCAGCTGCACTAGATTACGACATATGGTTGTAATAAAGTACCCAAGAACGATATAATTCCCGTTTTATGGTCAGATAACTTATATTCGAAGCATGTATGTGTTTGGGCTAAAACAATGATCACGGAGACCCGATTTTCCAAGATATAATAACACGAAATTGTATAGAATAGGAAAATCAAAAGAGATAGTTAACTATCCAATTATTTTAGGCATAAATTAGTATTTAAGTATAGAATAATTTAATTCATTTAACACCTCAACTAGCAATTATATTTTATAATTTTTAACTCTCCGCTGCTATTTTATTCTATAATTAGTTTATTACTGCTCGTCGAATGCCATTTGTTTTATTAAAATTGCAAGCGAGATAATTAAGCTTCCAAGAAAGTATTCTGCTCTATAAGGTAGTCGTAAGAACGTTCTTGGAGCAAAAATACAAAACAGTTCGGTAACAAGTTTTAATATTGTTTTATGAACGTTTGCACAATGATTTTATATGACATTTTAGCTCACCGAACAAATCTGTTTTATATTAGATTTATATTGATGTTATCTGATACTAGTTCATTAGTTGACGTACATCTATAAAATTGTTTTATTAGCGCTATGTGAAACATTTATAAAATTAGTTTACTACTATTTTCTTGGGATATTATTGCTGTCTAAAGCATTTTACATTCAGATGGAATCTTGAGAAGAATATTATATAATTATCATGAGCTCTGTCATATTAAAGGCTGTATATAATAATTATAAAACAAAGAAACTGTTTGACTAGGTTAAAAGAAAGCATATAGAATGTAGGATTTTCCAATTAAGGGGAAAACAGTTATTGCAGTTATCGAAATTATATTTCCCATATGACTAGCGAACTCTGTTGGAGGGCTTTCAAACTATATCACTAAGGGTGCAAATAGAATGAACAATATGAGAACCAATGGGAACACGGCAAGAAACCAAAGGGTACTCTCAGCGAATCGCTGAAAGCTAAGAGGGTTGGAGATCCTCGATTCTAGCAAGCCGGGTACGGAGGGGAGCCAATGGGCTTCTAAAGTGGTACCCAGAGGGTAATTCCTTTCGCCTATTTAAGCACATGTAGAGGCCACATAACTTCAGTTATCGCTAATTCGCAACTAGTTTTTACTACGAGTGATCGCTGGAAATTTAAGTCGCAAAGTTTCAACGAGTTCTCGATCCGTTTCTCATCATCTAGTTCTGCCGCCCTGTGTTTTAGTAGAAGTTCTCCAAAGAGGTGATAGTTGTTATTTTTTTTAATTTCAATTCCAATAAAGAATCAGATTTGGGAACTAAACCTTTTAATTGGGAAATTACTCTTTGCTTTCAATTGTCTTTAATTTTTCTTCAGTTAAAAATTAATTATGGTCTTAAATAAGGTAATTTTTTTTTTGTTCTTTTTTTATATTTTACTTAACCTTTTTTTTTATTATCACTAAATAATTAACACTGACTTTTCTTTTCGCTTATAAATAAATTAGTTTAATCTTTCAAAATTACTCTTTTCTTTTCTGGTTTTAAAATTCCCTCTAAAACACTGGTGGACGCGTAAAAAGTTCTTTCGTGCCGGTTTGTGCATTTGAGAAGAGAAGCAACATTGGCAATAAAAAGGTAAGTCTTCTTGAATTTATAACCCTTTGCACTAACCAAAACCGAAGAAGAAGAGAAATAAGGTTTTGTTTGGATTGCCTCCGGTTCAGAAAATTTGGTATCCCTTTTCAGAATAAATTTAATTACAGCATAATTATGGTACCCACGCAAACTAAGATGTGACAGAATTATTCACGCTACCAAAATGTTTATTCTTCGTAACATCTCAAATTTTGTCACATAAATAATTGGTGGCAGCGGTGGGATTTGAGATTTTCTTTTCCTTCAAAAACTCTTCATATTTCCATCAAATTTTCAATTTATTTTCCATATTACCGATATTGATTTTGACGAAATTAATTTATTTTTAAATACCTAATTTCACGGAAATAGATAAGCATTATTATTTTTATTTTAAAGAAATCTTGAACAATTTAGGATCTTAGAGAGTTTATCTTGTCGAGATGACCATGAGATCAAAGAAGTCATTTGATAGATCGAATTATGCGAAAAGGGTTTTTCTAATTATGATAAGGGTTGAATCGGTACGTTTTAAAAAGAAAGTAAAAAAAAAAAATAATAAAGAAAATAAGATAAAAGAAAGAATCGGAGGCACCCAGGAAGATGAAGAATTCAAGAACGACGTTGCATATTTGTTTAGTTACTAACATGGTTTTATTTTTGTTGTGAATTTTATGTTATTGTTATTGTTTATAAAGAAAAAAATTATTAGGTAAAGGTAATTGGTGATCACAACAGGAATGAATCAGTTGTGGTGAAACTGACATTTTATTGGTGATAACTCCCTTGACGTGATTTGTGCATTTTCGCGTCATTGTATAATGTACAGAATGTAACTAGGTATATTGCGATATTTGCTTAGTATAGGATGGTAATAATAATTATTATTTTCTTTCAGGAAAATTTATCGGTAGGTGAAGTTATTAGTTATATGTTTACTTATTTATATTATTATGATTTACTTTATTTTTCTTTTGGGGTGTAAATATTATCAATTTATGAGTTAATTTCTGAGTTGACTTAAATTTGGTGATTTATAGCGTTATCAAGAAAATTAGCTGATTCAATGTTCTCTTTCAAAATTTTGAAGATGATTCCAAATTGTTTCCATTGGTTTGCTGACCGTCGTTTAGTTTTGTCTTTTTGCGTATGTAAGAAGCACAATGGTTATTAATTGCAGTTTTGCGATTATTTGAAGTTTGTTAAATTTTTGGAATTAAAAATATGGTCAATCTTCTGGCACGTTTTATTATTGAGCATATTTTGGAAACAAATTTTACAGTCTGTGTCTATGTCTATGTTGACAATGTGAAATTTTACAACTGTGTCATCTAACAGTTTTAATATTGATTTTGATGTTTCAGTTGATACTAATATTCACATTCTTTGTTTTAATAACTCATAATCGTAGGTATAGTTGGGATTTTATTTTAGTTTCGAAGAATTAGGTCGTTTAATCATTAAAAAAAAAAATATAATATTATCTATAAGGTAGGTACAGTAGTAAAAAAAGCAATATCACAATGGGTTATATAAATGCACAATAAATTTAGGAAGGAATCACTGTAACTATTATTTTGGGTAGTATTGTTGCGTCAAGTTCGGTTAGTTAACCCTTAGAGAGGTGTATTTATAGGTATTTAACCAGATTTACCTTTTATTTTATAGTACGGTTATTGCTTGAACTTGACTAACTAAAACAACGCTAAAAGTAAAGGGATTTCTGATCGTTATTCATTTTGAATAAGTCAAGATAAGTTTTAATTTTAGGAAAGTGGTGATCGCGGATCTCACTACATGAAAAGCAGATAAGTTGTGAAAAGAAGCAACAAGGAGTTACTTATTGGGTACCTATAAATAATAATTTTCTGAGGAAAATTCTAGGAAAAATAAAATTAATATTTTATTTTTGGAAAAAAAAGGTAAAACCTAAGCTATTTACCGTTATTCTAATTACTAGGCACTAGAAAATTAGGAATAGAAATTGAGTACGTTCGAGTGGGTCTAGCGATATATAGAGTTCAAATAAAACGAGCGGCCGAGTTTCGCCGAATTGGGCGTATAGGGTTTTCTAACCCACGTAGAAAAAGAGTACTAAAGTAAGTTGTTAAGGACGTATTATCGGAGGTATTTATTGAGTTAAGAGGTTGAATATTAGTTAGTTTTGTGTGTGTGCCCGCGTGTGAGTAAATCCCGAACCAATCCTTTCGCATTATTGTCGAGAAACTTAACCAAAATATTTTAAATCGCTTAATTTTTTTTTATATTTATTGACTCAAGAAATAACTTAATTTTACTTTATAAAAAAAAAAAACATGCCGAACGAGCACGAAAACTGTAATTCACCAAAAGAAAATTCGGAAAGTATCACAGAGGCCTTACGAGACCAGCTCGAAAATATGAGATTGCAACTTGAGGAACAAACAAAATTAAACATACTCCATTCAATTCAACAATTTAAAGATTCAGACGGAAAATCCCATGAGGCTAGCGCTGGACATATAAATCTAAATGATTTACAAGCAATTCGAGAGATTTTACGCAAAGATGAAGATATTTTGGAATCGATTGATCCTTATGTGGGAGCTAATGATTATGAAGCTTTTATAGAAGCCATTGAGAATGCCGCTACGATTAAAGGATGGACCGAAGAAGAAACATTTCGTACCATGGTGAAAAAATTGAAAGGAAAAGCAAAAGAAGAGTTTTACGCATTGAGGAAAAGTGAACGTCCGGAAAACGTATACGAAATAAGTACGTGGCTACGCAGACTATTTGGAGGAAAAACTGAACAAATTCAAGCTAAACGAAAACTCTTGACCAGTGTCAGGTTACCTGATGAATCGTTGGGTGCATTCGTCCAGAGACTTAGGAGAGTTTCTACAGAAGCTTTTCCAGACGAAGGAACTAGTCAATCACAACGGATATACAGAGAAAAGGTTTTAGTTGAACAATTCATACAGGGAATAGATTTGCGTCTGGCAAACAAAATAATAGAGAAGGGAGATTTTTACACAGTAGAAGAGGTACTGGCCGTAGCCGAAAAGTACGAGAACTCTATTTCAAAACAATTACCAGGAAACCTTTACGAAGATCGATATGCAGCCGCAATACGGGTTATAAATGAAGAGGCAACTAAAGGAGCTGTACCCAAAGACTGCAGCGAAAGAAAACAGGAAACTAGAACCCCGTATAACTCCTATAATAAGCAACAAACTCAAAATGGTAATAACTTTCGGAGTAGGAACTTTTACCCTCAGAGAAATAATAATTTCAACCAGAAACCAAACCGGTATCAAAACCCACAAGGCAATCAAAGGAATGCAGGATGTTATAAATGCGGTGATAGCAACCATTTGGCTGTTGGATGCCTAAAAGACAAGTTTCCGAGTCGTGAAAACGTTAGAAAGTGCTATAACTGCGGAAAGCCTGGTCATTTACGTGCACAGTGTTATTTAAACTATCAGGGAGCCTCGGACCAATCGAACAAATAATAGTTCCTCAGCGACAGACACAAATCATACTTGCTATTAACACCGAAAATGCAAAATTTCTTTTATTAAATGTTGAAGATGGACCAAAAATGTCTTTTCTGCTCGATAGTGGAGCGTCTGTTTCACTTATAAAAAAAAATTCTGCTCAAAAATTAGGATTATTGAATGTAAATAGGAAACCTATAAATATAAGAGACATTTCGGGACAAGTTTTAGAAAATTTTGGAAGCACTGAAATTAAGTTTATTTTAAGCAGTTTAGGGAGTAAGCAAACAATAATTGGCCACAATTTTATTATTTGTGGAAATGAGTTAAGTTTTTCGACAGATGGATTATTGGGTATGGATTTTTTAGAGAATTATCAACCAGTGATCGATTTTAATGCGAATGAAATGAATATGTGTGGTTATAGATTGGCCTTGTTAAATGAACTTTTAGAACGACGTCACAGTGCGGCTGTACAGAGCTGTAATGCAGTTGACGCTCCGTGTATCACAAAAGAAGTGGTAACTATTTTTCCTGTAAAAACGAATCGGGGTACAGAGGTCGTTTATAGAGGTCGCCGGAGTATTGAAAATGATTATGTTATTGAAAATGACTTTGTTAATGTAAATGGTTTTAGAGAGACTAAATCCACTGGCAGTGAGGCCGTGGTGGATTTATTTAAAGGGAAAGGGGTACCAACCTCTAGAAACGGGAAAAATAAGTGTGAGTTGACTGATCCACCAATAGTTTTGAGTAGTAAGGAAGATAGGGAAGATACAGGGTATCTTAACGAAAATCCTGAAACTCACCAGATTGATAATAGACTGAAACAGTTTACGAACTACACTGAGATAGAAAATAGTAATGAATTTCGCCAGTTTGCTACAGGAGGAAATGCGCAATTCTCCAATTGTGGTCATTTATCTAAAGGACCACATGTAGTAAAATTGCGTGAAAACTTGGAAATACCTGCTTTCCACGGTTGCGATTTTAATGTACCTGTAAACACCCGGGTCCCTGCAGGCATTAAAGTCTGTGAACCATTAAATCATACAGATGTCGGTATTCTTACCGCGTGTAGTGTAATAGAAATTCCTGAAAATTCAACAAAAGAAAATAGAAATATAGTAGTTCGTATTCTGAATACTTCTCCAATACCGCAGACCATTTATAAAAACACGCCCATTTTAAATTTGGTGGATGTGACTAGGCTGAAAGAATGTTCCACCGCGGATGCTCTCTGTGGAGCGGATGGAACGGATTATGTTAGTGAAAAGTTTAGTGAAATTCATACAAGTTGTTATGAAGGCCATATTGTGGAGAATATGGTTTCTCATTTAAAAGGAGGGGATAAGAGTAAGATGATGCAATTTTTACAGAGTTACTCTGATATTTTTGCAAAGGATAATACGTCATTGAAAGCTACACAAATGGTTACTCATAAGATCAATACAGGGGATCATTTGCCAATTAGACAAGCTCCGTACAGAATACCTTATGCTATGAGAGAAGAAATGGATAAACAAATAAAAGAAATGTTGGAACAAGACATAATTAGACCTTCTATATCACCGTGGAGTGCACCAGTAGTTTTAGTGGAAAAGAAAAGCCTAGATGGACAAAAGAAATTTAGATTCTGCATTGACTTCCGCAAATTGAATTCTATTACGAAACGAGACATTTTTCCAATTCCACATATCCAGGACACTATAGATTCTTTAGGAGGCGCGGAAATGTTCTCCACTCTCGATATGACGAAAGGATATTGGCAGGTAGAAGTAGAGCCAACAGATCGTGAAAAAACGGCATTTTCCGTACCTTGGGGACATTATGAATGCAACAGAATGCCTTTTGGATTAGTGAATTCACCAGCTACCTGGCAACGATTAATGATGTGTATTCTTTCCAAATTTATTGGGACACATTGCTACGTATACTTGGATGATATTATAATATTTTCATCAGGAAATATTGATAAACATATATCTCGATTAAAGGAAATTTTTGAAGCTTTAAGAGAAGCTGGATTAACGCTCAATCCAGAGAAATGTGTAATTGCCAAAGACGAAACACCTTACCTAGGTCATATAATATCTAAAAATGGAATAAGACCTTGTCCAAAGAAGACGGAGATTGTTAAAAATTATCCCAAACCGACAAATATAACAGAAATCAGATCATTTTTGGGGTTAGTTGGATACTATAGACGATTTATACCTGACTTTTCTAAATATTCCGCAGCTTTGACACACCTAACTAAGAAAAATGTTAAATTTAATTTTGATAAAAATTGTGAAGAATCCTTTGAATACTTAAAAAAAGTGCTAATAAATCAACCAATTCTTAAATATCCAGATCCAACAAAACCATTTTATTTGTCAGTAGATGCTTCTGGCTACGCGATTGGCGCGATATTACATCAAATATATGAAGGCCAAGAATATCCTGTCGCATATGCAAGCAGACAATTGAATAAAGCCGAGAAAAATTATTGCACTACTGAAAGAGAATGTTTAGCTCTATTGTGGGGTATTAAACAATATAGAAACTACCTTTGGGGACAAGAATTCACAGTTTATACAGATCACCAACCACTAAAATGGCTTATGTCAGTAAAAGATCCAAGTAATAGACTCATGCGATGGTCGTTAGCCTTATCAGAATACAGTTTCAAAATAGAATATAAGTGTGGGAAGAAACACACAAATGTAGACGCTTTATCGCGAATCAAGCCAATTAGATTAATTCATCAGGAAAATGAGTGCGAGCCTATATGGTGTAGAGACACAATTAAAAAACAACAATACGCTGATAAAAATATTAAAAGCCTTATTGAAAAAATTAATCAAGGAAAAAGGAATGATTACTACATCGACTTAGACGGATTAGTTTACAAAGTTTCTAATGACAGAACTAACAATGATATACTTTTAGCACCTAAATATTTGATACCACATATTCTACGACTTTATCATGATTTGCCTTTTTCGGGACATATGGGTTTTGATAAAACATACGCACGAATAAGAAAATTTTTCTATTGGACAAATATGACCGAAGACATTCGTCGATATATTAATGCTTGCGATCCATGCGCAAGGCGGAAAACATCCAGTCATCAAAAACCTGCCCCGCTACAGAAATTTTCCATTCCCAAATACCCTTTCTACAGAATTGCTATGGATGTGGTAGGACCTTTACCTGTTACATTACAGGGAAATAAATATATTTTAACAGTTCAAGATGCACTAACAAAATACGTGGAAGCGTTTCCTTTACCGGATCAAACAGCAGAAACAGTTGCAAAAGCTTTTATTAAAGGAATTATCCTAAGACATGGAACACCACATCAGCTTTTAACGGATTTAGGCTCTAACTTTATGTCAAAATTGATGCAAAGTGTTTGTGAGAATTTACAAATTAATCATCTCAAAACCACTGCATATAGACCGCAGACCAATGGTGCTTTAGAGAGATTTCACAGAACTCTGAAGGATTTGTTATCACATTATATTGAACCTGGACAGCGAGACTGGGACGAATGGTTACCTTTTGCCCTTGCATCGTACTGTTCAGCGACTCACAACACGACAGAAGAAAGTCCATTCTTTTTACTCTTTGGCAGAGATATGGAATATCCGTTTGACGAGATTTTTAAACCTTTAAGGGTCAAGTACAATACCGATACAAATTATGTTTCAGAATTTCTACAAAGAATGAAAATTGCCCATAAAAATGCTTTAAATAACATAGAAAGAAATACTCAGCGATACCATGATAACTTCAATAAGAAAGCAAGTCCACATAAATTTAAACTAGGTGATAAGGTTTATCTATACGAACCAGCGGATAAAGTTGGAATCAGTAAGAAATTGGCAAAGAAATGGACCGGACCATACAGAATCAGTAAACTAACAGGTGTAAATGCAGAAATTACAGAAGTTCATGGAAAACATAGGAAAAAGGTACATGTCAACCGTTTAAAATTATGTTTAGCGACGGAAGAAACTGGTAATCAATTGGCAAATATTCCTCTAAAATATCGAATTAAGGAAAATTATTTTCCTTTAGACTGTGAAAGTGAAAGTGAAGAAGAAATTGTGACGGATGAAAGTGAGGAGAATGTAGACAGAACTGATAGAATGTCGTCAGTCTTGGAAAATGAAAATACCGAAAGTAATAGAAATATAGCAGAAACGGATCCCTTGAATAGATCTTCGAATATTTCAAGAGATGGTGTTGATGATGATAACCAAATAATTGATGATCATGAAAATGATTCTATGAGGTCCTTGGATGCAGATCGAGAGGAAAATGATGATGTAGCTCAAGTTTCTATAAACATACGAAACCCGGAGCCTTTAGAACAGCAAATTCGACCTCAACGAATAAGACAGTTACCAAAAAGGTTTGAAGATTATGTTTTAGACTCCTTGGATTAGACTTAAATAGGGATAGGGTAGAAATGTTATAATAATGTTGTATTTATTGTTTTGTGGTTGTCAGTTTTTGATATTTGTATAGAGGAATATCGCTAGACGCACAAGAAATCAGCATAGATTAGGAGAACTGGATACCGAATTGTAGTCGTTGACTGACAGTATTGATATGTATTCAAATCTTAGTTTCAAATTCAAACGGTTAGGTTAAGCATATATAATTATTTTTTTTTTGAATGTTTTAGATTTGAAAGAAGAGAAACATGAAAATCATAAAATTTGTTTTGATTTTTCTCTACTATTTGAGGACAGCACGCCCAGAGATTATTGCTTATGATTGCGCCGACCGAGCGACCGAATTGACAAAAGTGTCTTTGCTGGCAGTAAAACCATGCCAAGACCCTCGTAACTTTTCCGAGTCCAACTTCAGACGAATCCAGCTGGTACAAAAACGACAATATGTACCAATTCATATACTCACCTGTCAAGTTACTGTCCAACAACTCATTGATCATTGCGGCATGTATAGTCATCGCAGTACCGTAGCCGGAGGTTTTGGAAAATATATTCAGCACA